TAATGTGCAAATTTTATCACTCGCAGTTGCTCAAAATAGCTCCCAGGAAGAGCTCAGTGAGAAGAAGAAGAAGAAAAAGTTGTCTTACGGAGTCTTCATTGTGGAATTTGGTTGTTGTTGTTGTTGTTATTCATCGCACAGTCAACCAAATGCTCAGACTGGATCTGGCATTTTTGTCTACCTATCCAGTCCTTACCAAAGACCTGGGATAGGCAGATGTGGATGTTTGATGGTATTACAGATATTGTTGCAGGATGGAAGCTGTTCCCAGTAAGGCTGCCTTTTGCAATTGACTAATGGCGAATTTGTCAATGCCGATGATGGTGTCCAAGTGGTGCTCCAGTTTTGGGATTGCACCCAAGGCACCTTTTACTCTTGCTACTACTTTTGCTTTCTTTTGCCACAGTCGTTCTATTTCTATCTGTAAGTCTTTTGTTATCTTCTCCAATTCTTTCTCGTCTATTCTGCTGTCTCCAGGCACTGCCACGTCCACTATCCAGACTTTTTTTGTCTTTCTTATCGACAGTTGTTAAGTCCGGGGTGTTATGTGGCAGATGCTTTGTCTGTTTGAATTCTAAAGCAATTTAACATTTTCATTGTCTATGACTTTCTCTATTTTATGGTCTCACCAGTTCTTCCTTGCAGGCAAATGCTATTTCTTGCAGATCTGCCAATGCACCAGCATTGCTACTTTGTCATGCCGCTGCAATAACAACAACAAGAACACCAACAACAATGATAATAACAATAATGATAATAATAATAATAATAATAATTGTTTTTATTTTGCTTGTGCTAATTATTTATTTAAATTTGGCCATCCACAATTTATCTCTTTTCCCCATTTCATTTGCCTGCCTATTTTTTTCTCCTGCCATGTTTTGATCTCTGGGAGAGCTAATTAAGCCATTCAGAGGACTTTAAAAATAAGGTCGTGGAGGGGTGCTTAGAAAATGTTCTATTAAAAACCCAGGAGTCAGAGTGGCTGTTATAGGAGGCTGCTGATGAGGTGCTGAGAATATGATGCTGTGTTAAAAACACACATACGCGGAATTAAAGTGTTGCATAAGACCACCTCGCCCGGTCCGATTTTAGCTGATTCATTCTTTTCAAGGGAGTGGACAGCAAATCTGCGCTTTGAGTGCTGCTTCTGTATAGGTAGCTTACCGATTGATTAGTCTTAACGATCATGTGAAAACTATAAAACAAAGATGTCCCCAAGATGCTTTTTCAGGAGGCAACTGAACTTTTCTTGTTTTTCTTTGAAGACGTTTTGCTTCTCATCCAAGAAGATTCTTCAGCTCTGGCTGGATGGTGGGGAATGGAAGGATTTATACTCCTTGCAGACAGCTGGTCATTTGCCTTCTCTTAGAGAGTCTTTGAGGCCACTTGGAGGTTTACCTGTGTCCTCAGGGTCACCTGAGTGGTGCAAACGGGAGTGGAACCTTCTCGGAGCTGCTGAAAGGATTGTGTTGTTCCAAGAAGACTCCACACCCATTTGCACCACCCAGGTGACGCTGAAGACACAGAAAAACCTCCAAGTGGCCTCAACAACTCTCTAAAAGGATGCAAATGACCAGCCGTCTGCAAGGAATATAAATCCTTCCATTCCCCACCATCCAGTCAGAGCGGAAGAAGCTTCTTGGAGGAGAAGCAAAATGTCTTCAAAAAAAAACAAGGAAGTCCAGTTGCCTCCTGAAAAAAGCACCTTTGAGACAACCAGGATCTGGATGACGGAGAATCTCCATAAATCTACCTGCCAGTTCTTCATCTCTTGAGTGGCACTTCTCCCCAGCCTATTGAACAAAAGAAAAGAAAAAATAATACTCTCAAACTTGCAGGACTATTCTATTCTATTCTATTCTATTCTATTCTATTCTATTCTATTCTATTCTATTCTATTCTATCCTATCCTATCCCATCCCATCCCATCCCATCCCATCCCATCCCATCCTATTCTATATTCCACTCTACATTCTACTCTACTCTACTCTACTCTACTCTACTCTACTCTACTCTACTCTACTCTACTCTACTCTACTCTACTCTATATTCCACTCTACATTCTATTCTACTCTGCTCTGCTCTGCTCTGCTCTACTCTACTCTACTCTACTCTACTCTACTCTACTCTACTCTACTCTACTCTACTCTACTCTACTCTACTCTACTCTACTCTACTCTATTCTATTCTTGTTTCCCCAGGCATTGTCCAAGGAGGACCACTTCCAGCCATTTGCACTCAAATCCTGACCACGGTGGATCAAGAGCAGAACAAAGTCCTGTGGATCCCTGCTGGCCCCCAATAGACGGACGCTGTGAAAATAAAATAAAATACTGTAACTGCAACAGATTCTACGTGAACGGCTGATGGGGATATCTGTGTGGTAGGTTGGAAAGCATCTCACGCCACGTTATCGGTGACCTGTGTTTGGAAGGAAGCGATCCGTTGCTGACAGCAGAATTCTTCCGACGTTTCTCTCTCCGCGGACGATCAAATCCAGTTCTTTTTTTTTTTCCAGAAAAAAAAAATAAACTTTGCGAAGCTGCAAGAAGAAGAAGAAGAAGAAGAAGAAGAAGAAGAAAAAATCCTTTAGGTTACGTTTACAAAACCTTTGCCCTTCTCCCCAATATTTTGGGTTTGTGTTTACTTGAATTTTTTTAAACAACAACAACAACAACAAGCAATCGTTTTTTGAGCTTCTCCTCGGCTGCCCACCTCCCCCCCCCCCACACACACACCCCGTGACAACGGTGTGAGAAGGAACTCTCTTTCTTGAAGTGTGCAGCCGTTTTAGGCCAGGATTGCATGCATGAATTTTGAGGAGTGGGCTTCCCCTACAGGTACTTGACGGGGAAAAGGAAATTCCCCCATGGGTCAGGCCACTGTGTGCGTGTGTGTGCGTGTGTGTGTGTGTCCAGTGTTCTTTGTCCAAAGTTACTGGTTTATTTTATGCATGACTTTTTGGTATTTAAATCTCACGCTGTGTGCTCCTTGTCTCTTAAGAATTGGGTTTGGACTTTGTGTCAAACCACAATTAAAAAAAAGGGGGGTTATAAGTTAGGCCTAGGCTGTTTATGTTAACCATGTGTAGATAGTTTACACAACATTGGTGAAAGTTGGTCCTTGGAGTAAAATAGCCATAGGGATTTTTTTTATTTAATTAGAAGCAAGTTCAGTTTTAGGGGACCCTGACGGCTTCTCTAGCGTGATCTATAACTGATAGTTTTACCACTGTTGGGAAAAAACAAAACAAAAAACAACATGTGTACGCTTTCGGTTTTTTAAAATTTGTTAGAATTTGTATTCCCTGCCTGTATTGATCTTCACTGTATATTGCTCCCCCCTCCCTCTCTTGCTTTTTTATTTTTACTTTTTAAAAAAAAATTAGGACTTTTTTTTCTCCCCCAACCGTCGTTTTATTATATTTTTTTTCTTCGTAAAATAATTGCATGTCGTGTTTTGTCGGTGCCCTACCTTGATTGCTTAAAAGTTTTTGTTTAGAGCCGCGTTTGTGGCTCACACGTTCCTAACATTTCATTAGATAGGTTTTTGTTCTGTGGGCTTGCCTTCCCGTTTCGAGATTTTTTTTCCTTTTTTTTTTATTTGCATTAATTTTAAAAAAAAAGGGATTTTTCTTGCACAATGACTCAAAAGCAGCACTTGGTTAGAAATTATATCTTCTGTTTTACAGATACTATTTTGTAGTACTGAATACCACAGAGAAAGGAAAAAAAATGTAGAAAGGTTATAATACATGCAGAGTGAAAATATTGTTTATAAGTGGAGGGACAGCAGTTCTATTTTTTTTTTCTTTTTTTAAAAGGAAAAAGGCTTGAGGTGGACGATGGTACGACTGAAAGAAACCAATACTGTTCCAACAGTAAATTTTCTGTACTAAAAATGTCACTTTATATCAAAACAAAAATAAAAGAAACTTAAGTATTGTGTTAAATAAAGGTCAATTTCTATAATTTGAAGGGTATGAAAATTTGTTGCTCGCTTACAGTCGAGTCTGTTTTTGAAATTTTATTTCGATTCATTTATTAAATTGATGTGCTGCTCATCTCGCCATTACAACGGCTTGTTTAAATGATTTAGGTAGCCACGAATCTCCGAATAAAGTGAACACAACACAGATGACAAACAAGATTCTCAACCGAAACACAACATATGTAATAAGCAGAAAAAAATATTTGTTTCAGAGGAAATAAAATAGAAAGTTCTGGAATCTGTTTTAGATGAGGAAAAATTGATGTGGTGTGTTTTTCTTTATACTTACTTGGCTCAAGTAGGAAAAATATTTTCCTAAATTTCGAGGAATCTTAGAACAACAAAACTAAGTTTTTTTTAAAAAAAGGACCAGATAAGTTGGTGTCAGGCGGGAAAAATCAGGACGACACATTGTAAGCTCCAGTTAAGCTGATGTATTGCTCGTGCCTGTACAGAAGAATCTAGTCAACTAATGGCCAGCGCTAAATTGGTGCTAGATAAGAGTCAACAGAATTCAAGAGGGTTTTAGACTTTGATCACGTGTGGAAACGTAATAACCCCAGGCTGATTCCTCTCTTGATTCCACCCACAGGTTCTGCCTTTCCTCCTAAAAAAAAAAGCCAACTCAGTTCTAGGCTGCATTAATAGAAGGATGGAATCAAGATCACGTGAAGTGTTAATACCACTTTTCAATGCCTTGCTAAGGCCACACTTGGAATACTGCATCCAGTTTTGGTCACCACGATGTAAAAAAGATGTTGAGACTTTAGAAAGAGTGCAGAGAAGAGCAACCAAGAGGATTAGGGGACTGGAGGCTAAAGCATATAAGGAACAGTTGCAGGAATTGGATATGTCTAGTTTAATGAAGAGAAGGACGAGGGGAGACATGATAGCAGTCTTCCAGTATCTCAGGGGCTGCCCCAAAGGAGAGGGAGTCAAGCTATTCTCCAAAGCCCCAAAAGGCAGGACCAGAAGCAACAGATGGAAACTAATCAAGGAGAGAAGCAACCTGGAATTAAGGAGAAACTTCCTGACAGTTAGAACAATTAACCAGTGGAACAACCTGCCTCCATAAGTTATGAATGCTCCAACACTGGAGGTTTTTAAGAAGAGACTGGACAGCCATTTGTCTGAAATGGTATAGTGTTTCCTGCCTGAGCAGTGGGTTGGACTAGAAGACCTCCAACTCTGCTATTCTATTCTATTCTAGATTTGGGTTGGATTCTTTTTCTATTTATTATAAACGGGTAAGTTTGATGCAAGATGACTCGGTTGTCTTTATGGTCTACTTTTTTTTTAATCCAATCCTGTGTGCTACTGCTGAGAACCTACAAATCAAGCAGGACTGCTTGACTGCAATTGTTCTTCAGAAGCGTTGTTTGATCTTTGGTGAAGAATTCTAAAGTCTGGTGCCATTGGAGTCCGATGCCTGCGTGAAAATATGAAAATATGAAGATTGGATATGCTCGTACAGACAGCAACAGGGAAGGAGAGGACAAAGCAAAAGCTCCATTAACCCAAAACAAAAAGAATCCCACACGATGGGCAAATCGACAACATGGCGCCTCAGCACAAGGAATGCATGTCACGGCCAGCAACAATGATAAAGACAACGGTTGTATCATGAGGACTCTACAGAGAAGGGCATCTGAACGGAACGGAGTTTCCCAGCATGAATGCCAAGGAGACTCAAACAGAGATATTGTCAAGTTCCAGCTGAGAAGCCCAACGAAGCAAAACACCAGAGGCGTTGTGTTCTCTAACGTAAACTTTATTAGGCATTAGGAAACTGGTAAGATAGAAAGGAAACTAGCTCTGAGAATATGGCAGGAAGAAGATAATTAGAAGAGTGAAGCTTTCCCTCCACACTCTGACAGTTCAGGTCACATTGTCCAAGATGTCTTCCAGTAATTGTTACGGTATGTGAAGAAACTTCAGTTGGCCAAAACAACTTTTCAACGGCTTCGGCTCGCACGTTGATAAGGAACACCTTTTCTCCCTCCCCTGTACTGTAGACAAACTAGAAGCACTACAGCGGTCCTAAACACACAAGGTTTCATAGCTTGACAGATATTTGCTGGGGGGGAGCTTACTTAAGCCTCTCTTCTTTTCTTGCAGATGGAAGAAGCCCCCCCCCTTGCTTCTAATGCACCGAGTGGCTTAATTATGATTGGACATCCAGGAAGTTTTGAGAAACAAGAATGTGCCAAGGAAAGGAAAGGGGATCCCAGGGTTTAACTAGCAGCCCGAAACCAAAAGGAAATTGCGGTGATGACCAAACTAGGTTGCATTGTGGAAAGCTCTTCTAATGACAGCAATTAGGTTCCGAGGCTGTGAAGCATCGCTAAATGTGTGCAGGAAGTGCAGCCATCACACATTTCAGCGGAAAATTAACGAGCGAAGGGTGGGGGGAGAAAGCTGAGATAAAATATAAAGACAGGAGCAGCTTTGACGGAGTTGTGGGCTATGCTCACATCTTTAATTAGAAGCTGGCAGCTGGATACAAAAAATGTAGCAGAGCTTTCTAAGGCCCTGCATGAAGAGCTCAAGTGTAGGCAGAAAAATGAAAGTGTCCAAGTGACACCCAGTTGTGATTTCCTAGCCTTGAGTTATTACGTTAATGTCATGGGGATCCTTGTCCTGTGACCGATGTTAAAAATTTGAGGAAATGTCAAAGATTGGGTTCCGAGGCTCAAGAAGGGAATGATGGCGATGGTGATGGTGATGTTATTCATTCAGTTGTGTCCAACTCTTGGCGATTCTTTGGGCCAGATCTTGTGCTACTTCTTTTGAGTTTTTCTATGCTCTGGCTGGTGTGGGATAGAATCAAGATCCCATGAAGTGTTAATACCACTTTACAAGGCCTTGGTAAGACCACACTTGAATTATTGCATCCAGTTTTGGTCACCATGATGTAAAAAAGATGTTGAGACTCTAGAAGAGTGCAGAGAAGAGCAACAAAGAGGATCAGGGGACTGGAGGCTAAAATCTAAAAAGAATGGTTGCTGGAATTGGGTATGTCTAGTCTAACGAACAGAAGGACCAGGGGTGACATGATAGCAGTCTTCCAATATCTCAGGGGGTTGCCCCAAAGAAGAGGGGGTCAAGCTATTCTCCAGAGCACCTGAAGGCAGGACAAGAAGCAACGGATGGAAACTAATCAAGGAGAGAAGCAACCTGGAATTAAGGAGGAACAGTGAGAACAATTAACCAGTGGAACGGAAGTTGCCTTCAGAAGTTGTGGGTGCTTCATCACTCAAGGTTTTTAAGACTAGACAGTCACTTGTCTGAGATGGTATAGGTTCTCCTGCTTGAACAGGGGGCTGGACTAGAAGA